GTGTACGATTGAATCGGGGGCGTCACATGCACGTGCAAAACTGGCTTGCACCCGTTGTATGTGAACGTAGAGCTTATCACACCCAATCATCACGTGGTGTATCGGCACGATGAACTGTAGCAACGGTGTATACTCAAGGAGAATACTTGTACCTTGAAATTTAGTGAGGGATCATCTTATAATTCTACCGCCGTACTAAGCAAAATAAGATGCATAAAAGATAAACATCACATGCAATCAAAATATGTGACATGATATGGCCATCATCATCTTGTGCCTTTGATCTCCATCTCCAAAGCACCATCATGATCTCCATCGTCACCGGCTTGACACGTTGATCTCCATCGTAGCATCGTTGTTGTCTCATGAACTATTGCTTCTACGACTATCGCTACCGCTTAGTGATAAAGTAAAGCAATTACATGGTGGTTGCATTTCATACACTAAAGCGACAACCATATGGCTCCTGCCAGTTGCCGATAACTGTTACAAAACATGATCATCTCATACAACAATTTATATCTCATCACGTCTTGACCATATCACATCACAACATGCCCTGCAAAAACAAGTTAGACGTCCTCTACTTTGTTGTTTCAAGTTTTACGTGGCTGCTACGGGCTTCTAGCAAGAACCGTTCTTACCTACACATCAAAACCACAACGATTTTTCATCAAGTGTGCTGTTTTAACCTTCAACAAGGACCGGCCGTAGTCAAACTTGATTCAACTAAAGTTGGAGAAACAGAAACCCGCTAGCCACCTGCGTGCGAAGCACGTTGGTAGATCCAGTCTCATGAACGTGGTGATGTAATGTTGGTCCGGGCCGCTTCATCCAACAATACCGCTGAATCAAAGTAAGGCGTTGGTGGTAAGCAGTATGGCTATTATCACCCACAACTCTTTGTGTTCTACTCGTGCATATCATCTACGCATAGACCTGGCTCTGATGCCACTGTTGGGAACGTAGCATGCAATTTCAAAAAAATTCCTACGATCACACAAGATCTATCTAGGATATTCTTAGCAACGAGAGGGGGAGAGTGTGTCCACGTACCCTCATAGACCTAAAACGGAAATGTTATGTTAACGTGGTTGATGTAGTCGAACGTCTTCACGATCCATCCGATCCAAGTACCGAACGTACGGCACCTCCGTGTTCAGCACATGTTCAGCTTGATGACATCCCTCGAGCTCTTGATCCAATAGAGGGTCGAGGGAGAGTTCCAACAGCATGGCGGAGTGGTGACAGTGATGGTGATGTGATCCGCGCAGGGCTTCGCCTAAGCACTACGACGCTATGATCGGAAGAGTAAACTGTGGAGGGGGCCACTGCACACGGCTAAGAGAAATCTTGGCGTGTCTTTGGGGTGCCCCACGCCTCCATATATAAAAGGGGGGATTAGGAGGCGCACCAAGGAGGAGTCCTACTTGGACTCCTAGTCCAAGTAGGATTCGGCCCCCCCTTTTTCCTTTCTCCACCGGAGGGAATAGGAAGGAGAGGGAGAGGGAAAGGGAAGGGGGCGCCGCCCCATCCTCCTTGTCCTATTTGGACTCCCTAGGAGGGGGGGCGCGGCCACCTCCGTGGGCTTCCCTCTCTCTCCCTTAGGCCCATGTTGGCCCAACACTTCCCCGGGGGGGGGGGGGGTCCGGTAATCCCTCGGTACTCCGAAAAAATATCTGAATCACTCGGAACCATTCCAATGTCCGAATATAACCTTCCAATATATGAATCTTTACCTCTCGACCATTTTGAGACTCCTCGTTATGTTCGTGATCTCATCCGTGACTCCGAACAAACTTCGGTCACCAAAACACATAACTCATAATACAAATCGTCATCAAACGTTAAGCGTGCGGACCCTATGGGTTCGAGAACTATGTAGACATGACCGAGACAAATCTCCGGTCAATACCCAGTAACGGAACCTGGATGCTCGTATTGGCTCCTACATATTCTACGAAGATCTTTATTGGTCAAACCGCATAACAACATATGTTATTCCTTTTGTCATCGGTATGTTACTTGCCCGAGATTCGATCATCGGTATCATCATACCTAGTTCAATCTTATTACCGGCAAGTCTCTTTACTCGTTCCGTAATGCATCATCCCGCAACTAACTCATTAGTCACATTGCTTGCAAGGCTTATAGTGATGTGCATTACCGAGAGGGCCTAGAGATACCTCTCCGATACATGGAGTGACAAATCCCAATCTTGATCTATGCCAACTCAACAAACACCTTCGGAGACACCTGTAGAGCATCTTTATAACCACCCGGTTACGTTGTGACGTTTGATAGCACACAAGGTATTCCTCCGGTATTCGGGAGTTGCATAATCTCATAGTCAGAGGAATATGTATAAGTCATGAAGAAAGCAATAGCACTAAAACTAAACGATCATAATGCTAAGCTAACGGATGGGTCTTGTCCATCACATCATTCTCTAATGATGTGATCCCGTTTATCAAATGACAACACATGTCTATGGTTAGGAAACTTAACCATCTTTGATCAACGAGCTAGTCAAGTAGAGACATACTAGGGACACTATGTTTGTCTATGTATTCACACATGTATCAAGTTTCCGGTTAATACAATTCTAGCATGAATAATAAACATTTATCATGGTATAAGGAAATATAAATAACAACTTTATTATTGCCTCTAGGGCATATTTCCTTCACTCTTTACTTACATGATGTCAATGCACCGCAAGAGGGTACAATTCCGACTACACTGCCATGATGTGCTCCAAACATCGATCGGAGGTAAGTCTAACTACAGTCTGGGTCGACATTCCTTGGGATTTGGGTGGATATGTGGAGCATTGAAACCTAGTTATATGGCTCTAAAGAAAGTCGTCGTCGGGAGGTAACCTGGTAGTAAGCAGGTGCCTTTGTTATTTATGTGTCTTTTGTGTCTAGATTGCATTCATATTTTTACGTTGGCACTTTGCATGAATTGCTATTAAAGATGATTTGGTTTAAGTCTTCATTAGGTGAAATTATTAGTTTGCTCAAAATTTTATGTGTGGTACTGTTGCTCAATTATATCTTCTCAATATTTGCCTAGTACTTTTGTTGCAACTAACCTATCAGGAATAATAAGAAAAAGTCCTGGAAAAGTATGTTCAAAAGGCTCCCAGAGGCTTTGACGACGCTTGGTACGAGCAACCTTGCTTGTACCGGTGGTCGTACCGAGGAGAAGAGGAGAAGTCAACGAGTCTAGAGCATGCGTGTGAATCCTGCCACCAGTGAGGTGACCGACCGATGCATGATATCGGTCGAGTACCACAGATTATTGGCCTTTCTCTCAGGGTATTCCCATTTCTTTTTTGACAATACAATGTCTAAAAAAGGGCCCGGGCTTCCGTGTGGGGTAGTTATAAAGAAGAAAGGGCTTGTGCGTGGACTAACTTGTTAGCCTAACGTCGTATGACCCTCGCGGTCCTACGTAGCCGCCTAGTTAAGCACTCCCAAAATAACTGAGATGGTGGCACAACACCAACCCACCACCCACAACACATACAAGAAGAGGAGAAACAAGAAAAAGGAAAACCCAAAGCATTAGTCGAGGTGTTGCGGTTGACATGAGCCGAAGCTGTGGTGGGGTGGCGCGAATGTTGAAACCTGGCATCAGCAACGCTGGAACTAGCAGCATGTCGAGTTGCGATCGAAGATTGGTTGTGCGACGAACGTCGATGATGCTGATAGTGTTGTTACATTGCTGTGACGGGGACCATGGCAATTGTAGCTCACGACAGAGCCGGGAATTGCCAGCGGCGTGACCTCGACTTCATGGGAAGAGCAACAACGATGGTTTCACGACAAGGAGCAATGGCAACCACACGCGAAGGGAGTGAGAGAAGTGGAGGTGACTTTTTTTGTTTGTTTCCATCTACTTGCATGGTAGATGGTGACGAAGCAATCAATCCAATTAGACGGCTCTGCGTGCTAGATCCTGTCACTAGCGAGGTGATCGATCCATGCATGAGATCGGTCGACCGATGTAGATTATTGGCTTTTTTAGGGTTTTTTCTTCTTCTTCTTCTTCTTCTTCTTCTTCTTCTTCTTCTTCTTTGAAACTCATCACCCCTTTTTATTAGCTAGTAATTAAAACATTGTCTTTTACAAGCAAGGGCATGATGGCATCCGGTGCCTCATCAAACCAGGAACTAGGGGAAGAAAATTTACATATTCTAGCTAGCTCATCAGCCACAGCATTAGCTTCCCTATGACAATGCTCATAACGCACGCATGTGAAATCCTTTGCCATGTGGAAACAATCATCCAAAATTACAGCAGAGGAGCCTGACGTATTTCCCCCATCCTGCATAGCCAAAATTACGTCTAAACTGTCGAGTTAACAATCACCTTTGAACAGCCAACCGATGTTGCCAGATTTAAACCAAACCGGAGTGCTAGAGCTTCTGCCATGAACACATCTGTACAGGCCCCAGCTACATTGTTACTTGCTGCCAAGAACAGCCCCTTACAATCACGCAAAACAGCACCCACAGTTCCTTGAAATGAATCAGCATCAAACGAGGCATCGACGTTTAGTTTGACATATCCTGTTGGCGGTCTCTGTCATGGGTTTCTCTTTTCTTTTGCAGAACTAGTAGCAGCCGCCGAGAAGTTCTCAGCAAGGGCACGGATAGATAGAACAATTTGGTTTGGTTGTTGAGTGTGTTCCCCATGACATGGTGTCTTTTTTTTGAGAATTAAATAATATGGTGTCTAAAAAGGTGCTTTTCGGGTGGGTAGTTATCAAAGACGAAAGGGCTTGCGCGTGGGCCGCGAGAGCTCGCCAGCCTAATCTCGTGTGACCCTCACGGGCCCAGCGCGGCCGCCGATAGTTAAGCACTCCCAAAATAACCGAGCCGATGGCACGGCACCCACCCAATCACCGCCCCCACCACAACACAACAGGGAGAGGAGAAACGAGACGACCGGCGGGCCGGAGGCGGAGCCCTCAACCGGCCCGAGAGAGCCATGTCGGCGGCGTCCTCCCCTCCTCCGGCCGACGCGGCGGCCGCGGGGGCGGAGACGGAGGCCGCGCCCGTCGTCTTCTACTGCTACGAGTGCCAGGCCACCGTCTCCCTCCCTGCGCCGGCCGCCACGCCCTCGCGGCTACTGCTCTGCCCCCGTTGCCGCAGCGACTTCCTCGAGGAGAACCCTAATCCGTCGACCTCGTCCCCTCCACCGCCGCCGCCCCCGCCGTCGGGATTCCTCTCCGACTCCTCGGAGGAGCCCGACGACATCGACCTCGGGATCGATCACACCGCTGCCCAGGCCTACCTCACCCGCCTCGTTCGCCGCCTCTACGACGATCCCACCTCCGTGGCCACCGCCGCGGCCGCGGCGGTGTCCGTGCTGCAGCAGCAGGGGCACATCGGTGGGCAGGGCCAGCCCCCGGCGCCCGCGGCGTCCATCGCCGCCGTGCCGACGGTGGAGGTGTCCGAGCCCGCCTCGGTCTGCGCCATCTGCAAGGACGACCTCCCTCTCGCCGTCGCCGCGCGGAGGCTCCCCTGCGGTCACCTCTATCACTCCGTTTGCATCGTGCAGTGGCTGGAGATGCACAATTCCTGCCCTGTCTGCCGCTCTTGCCTCCCGCCCACTATCCTCGAGGAGGTGGAGCCCCAGGAACTGGATCGGCCACCAACACAGATCACTATCAGGTTTACCACCAACCGCCGCCGCATCCGCACAAACAGTGATGCAGTGGCTCCGGTCGCGACATCGCCTACTCAGCTCGCAGAGGCGATGACAGGGGAAGGAGGTACTGGACCTGCGAATAGCGCAGAAACTGTATCGTCTGAATGGCCACCGCCCCCAGAATCTGATGCCGTCGTGTCAGAGACCCGTGAGATTGAGGGCTTCTTTGATTGAGCCAGAAGATAGAGTTTGCAGGTATGAACATCTTATGACTAGTGTCCATGGAGCATGAATTGAACTTCTGCTTAGTGGACTAATCAGTTGCAGTGAAGCCAGTACTTTGGTTCGGTGATATGGACTAGTTGAGTTACATTTGCTTGTGTGTTCTATCTTCTATGCTAGTTGATCGATGGTAAGCTGGAATAGCTTATAATCATATGAACATTCATATGTAGCTGAACTTGGAGTTATTATACTTACTTTGGACCGCATGTTAGCTGATATGTTTGGTGATATATGTGTTTTCTGTTGTTAATTTTGTAAGTCTTGTACCTTGTACACTCTTTTTTGGTACAACTGTAATTATTTGTCGAGAGTTGTTATTTTTTAAAGATGTTCTATATATCCAAACGTGATGAACAGGTTATTTGCTCGTAGTTTATTTGTTACCACCGTGTCTTATTGTCATATGGGCTAGAGTTTGTATCCATGCTCTAGCATTGCAAGAAAAAATCTACAGGATTTATATTTCTTTGCATGAAGTTCGGTTCAAGTAAAGTGAACTTACTGGGAAAAGTATTTGCCATTTTTCGGTTAATTTCCTATACGAATTGACTTTGTGTAGGCAAATATACTCTGTAGGGATATATTGGTATTGGTTATACTGCAAAATTTTGAACACCATGAAATTGGTAGGTTTGAAATAAAATGTGATGCATGTTAACTAGCAGCTGGCCTTTTATGAATTGCTTGCAGCAATTATCACTTAGATTATTAAGGTCTTTTGTCAAGCGAGTTCGAATTATATTTACCAGGACTCCCTTTGTCAATCATCTTTAAAAATATAGGAGCTAATTTGCTATTTTAGCTGAAATTGGTATTGGCTATACTGCAAAATTGGTATTGGTTGTACTGCAAGCAATATATTGTGCAGGGGTCTATTGGTATTGGTTATACTGCAAAATTTCAAATACCGTGAAATTAGTAGGTTGGAAATAAAATGTGATGCATGTTAACAGCTGCTGGCCTTTTATGAATTGCTTGCAGCAATTATCACTTAGATTATTAAGGTCCTTGTCAGCGAATTTGAAGTATATTTACCAGGACTCCCTTTGTCAATCATCTTTAAAAATATAGGTGTTAGTTTGCTATTTTAGCTGATTCATATAACCTGAATCATCTGATTCCTATTTGTTGTGGGATTCCTATTTGTTGTGTTAATCTTAAGTGAACTTCTATTTGTGATACTGCTGTTTTTTAGTTAGCTGATTCACATGTCCATCCTTTTTTGAGCTTTGATCACCTGGAGAGCAAAATTGGAGCATTAAACAATCAGATAGATCACAACAAAGATTAAACTGATAGGATATGACAAGTTGAATCAGTAACATGCATGCTATTTTATAAGAGGGGTTCAAAACTAACACGGTGGCTAGAAATATTATGCTGCCTTATTATCTATGGAGTATTTGTGATCTCTTATTTACTCACCATTTGATGTTAACACAATAAGGTGCTCGCACAATGATATCATTACAGTTCGGTAATTTAATCCAGCCTTTGACCTTGAACACTCAAGAACTCAGTGATATCCTGAATTCTTTAAAACAAAGTTGAGGTTGGTATTAGTACTCAATTACAGTTCGGTAATTCAATCCAGCCCTTAACCTTGAAAACTCAAGAACTTAAGTGCTATCTTGATTCTTAAACAAAGTTGAGCTTGGTATTAGTACTGCCCAAGACATTGCACTGGTTCGCTTCCATTTACCCCGAGTGGAACTAGGCTATTTTTATTACTCCGGAGGAGTATGTGGCACCATGATCAGCAGTAAATGATGTTCAAAGGGGTTTGTATAGAATTTGACAAAACAGTACTCCCTCTGTATCAAAATGTAAGACATTTTTTGACATTGTCATAGTGTCGAAAGAAGGTCTTATATTTTGATACGGAGGGAGTGGGTATTAGCAACTAGTGCAGCAGAAAGGTTTTTAGAACCAATACCTAATCTCAAAAGAAAATGAAATGATTCATGCAAATACATTAGAAGTGGCATCAGAAAAAATAAAAGGTGAACTGTTCAGTTCTTGGTTCCGGTCCTAATTTGAAAGCAAGAATCATATACCAAAGATGTAGTTTAACAGAGTTAAACAAATGAATAAAGCAAGGGCTCATTCTCTGGATATAAATTCCCTATCACCAACAATATTGCAATTGCCAACGAACTTTAGAACTGAAAGAGAAGGGATGCCTAATCAAAAGCTGGAGATTAATCATCATGATAATCCAGTCAAGATGACACGCATGTCTCGTAGTCTTGTGGCACGTTTGGTTATCTGCATCATTTTTGGCCTTGCATATGTAGCACGGTTTAGTTTGGCTGAGCTAAAGTAAGCTTAAAACCATGTTATGCAACTAGTTTGGTTGCCCACAAAACCACAGCTTGCATTAGTGGCGAACCACTAGCAGGCCGTTTGGTTGCAAGCATGTGGTACCTGGTTACATTCAAGACATGCAGTGCGGTAATCTTTTGTTCGAGTGGTAAGATTACCACCGCACACACACATACACACTGATAGGCAAGCATTTACATTACATTATAGGCGCTACATTAACAAGCATAGCCAGAATAACGATGACGGAGTCAAAACAGATAGTGATGATAATAACAACACAGATCGACTGACTAACGAAAACACATTAAACTTCTTGGATCAAGATAAGTGCTTTGTTGTGCTCTGGCACTTGGCCACCACCTCTGTGATGGAAAGGTCGATGACAATGATCCTGAAGGTGTCCTCGATCAACACCTTGAAGATGATGAGGTAGCTTGTGAGCAATGGCGAAGTGGGCCCACCCCTCATCCATGGCTAGCTTCCCGTTGATCTCCCAAAGTTTGACCTTCCTGATGCAACTAGTGTTCTTCTTGAGTTTAGTCTCCCGTGGATTGTGCCCATGTGTTTATTGAAGCTGTCGGGGATCGGTAATGGCTCCAACCCAGGTGCTAAAATCACCTTGTAGAAGTGGGTTGGACATATCGATTTATGGAAATGACTGATATTCGTCAGCCTTCCCCGATGCCTCTGCGAGGTGCTACCCCGAGCAACCTCCTTGCCCTTGGAGCTCTTGTCGTGCTAATCAAATTAAACAAGATCAATGGATGTATCAAACTACCATGGACTAATCATGAAGATCAACACACAAGCACATGTAACAAATTAGCATGGACTGATCATGAAGCTGAACATTTAAATCTACTTGGAAACATCTGCATCTACCATAACAATAAGAACATCATCACTGCCGACAGGCTCCTACAGCAAGATCAAGAGGTTTCATGCTGACAAGACCAATTCGAGCCATATCAAACCCTTAATCGAGACATATATGACAGCCGAATATAACCCCATATCCACACCCTAATCTAACCCCATATATACACTCAAATCTAACAAGACTTGGACACCCAAATAAAACCCCATATCCACACCCTAATTGAGTCGTATGAAACCTTAAATATGATCCTAAACCCAAATTAACACTCAAATTGAAGCTTCCAAGTCTAAATCGGTGGCTAAATCAATGCCTACATGGATCTCAATCGGGCTTGTTGATGTCCTCCAGGAGTCAACAATGAGATAGGGGTGAGGGGATTCATGGCACGACTCCGGGAAACAATGTAGCGTCTCCAACTCATCCCCATGTTGTAGTGCTTGTGCTCGATTGGGCATGGCTGGCTGGAAACACTCAATTCGATCGTTCCTCCATACCCAGGCTCTGGGGCTTTTCAGTAATGTGCTATGCAGGCCCAGTCGCACGTGTAGGTAACCAAATGGCCCAAATTTTCATCCTTAGGGCCTGGATGGTTGTTATGCAGACAACCAAACACTCCCTTAATATTTTCTCGTGTAGCTCCAAGGATGCATCCCCCTCCTCAAACCTCTAGATGGTGTCTCCCTTTTGTCATCTCTAAGAACAACACACCTAGTCAAAATGGAGAGCAATTACTGCTTCTATCCTTTTTACCCATTTGTGAAGAGCAACCACCTTCCCCCATAGGAAACAAGAATGGAAGATTCTTAACTATGGGCACAAGCATAATCAAATTTCCATAAATTCCTCAATTAGCTCGACTACCAGGCAGCCAAAAAAACAAAGAATACATTGCCCCATTTGAGATGTTCATGGGAAATAAGACGAATCAAATCAATCGCATATGTGGGGCTTGTAAACTCAAGATCAAGAAGCATATGTCGGGCTCGCTCATGAAGCAGTTCGTCTAGGCAAAGGCATGGCCCCCGGAGAGATAGAAGAGAGGATCGTCTTGTGCGACTCGTTGTCGCACGAGACGAGGAGATATACATGGTGGTGAGCTAGGAATCAAATATCAAGGGTGGGGCGGCAAATATGACTCAAACTTGTGATAACAATGGGCCAAATTACACTAATTCATGTATTTTTCCTAAAATCCGAGAGGTGAAAAGCACAAGATAAGTATATGTATGAACAAGTTTGGGATCATGATGGGAGCCCTGACTCTAGCGAGTCCCCATGTCTCTGTGACTGGATAAACGGAGAGAGCCACAATCGTTGAAGCTCGAGTGATAGAGCAGTCGAGGGGGTGAGGAATGGGGAGGAGAGGTTTAGGGTGATATCGTTGTTGTTAGATAGTCAAGACTGTCGGCAACACACCACGCCTTGGTTGTCATGATGTAGGCTTTTTTCACCACCACATCCTCGCCTCCCATGGATCTATTTTCACACCTTCGAGAAGATATTTTTCTCTTCGTGGATCATCGTAGTTCGACCCAGGTTTTTCTCGGCCGCAGCCTAAACCAAACGCGCAATTGTGCCAGTTCGGGGACTCAATCCGATCGGGCCAAACCATGCGGATTGAACCCCGATCCTTGCCAATACTAGTCTAACCAAACAAGGCCTTAAGCTTAGTTTGTTTAATCCCCCCTCTAAGGGGATTGGAGAGGATTGAAGTTTTATTTACTTGCAAGGAATTTAATTC